CCGCCTGTGGATCTAGAGTTCAAGGATTCCCAACCTTGGGAAACCCAAAGGTTCTTAGACGGAAACTCCCAAAAACAATGGCCAACACATCTAGAGGTGAAGGCTTCTGGGAGTTTGAGCCCAAGGACATGGCGGGGGGGGGAATCAAGGTTGGGGAGGCACTGATTTTAAGATGCTTTTAAAAATCCAGAAGCAAGGAGAACTCCCGGGAACCACCTTCCACCGGGAGGATGAAGGATCACACCAAAGTCGCGCCGACGCTACAGGGTGTTTTTAAGAGCTGATTAAAAACTTGGCTCTTTAGGCAGGCCTTCCCTCCTGTCAATACTTGATTTTATTTTTATTATAATTTTCTGTTTTCCCATCTTGAGCATTACTTAGCATTACTAATCACTATTGTTTTGAATTGTTTTTAACTGTTTTAGCTTACAATGTTTAATGGAACTCGCCTGGAGTGGACTTTGTCTAAAAGGGCGGGATAGAAATCTAACAAACAAACAAACAAACAAACAAAATAAAGGGTTGTCGTAACGAATAGAAGAGAAATCAAGCTGTTGTCTCGTTATGAATGTTAAGTCAGCCACGAACGCTCAAGGAACAATCCAAAATAAACTCGTCTGTGTGGCAAAAAAGGGCCTTTGCTACTCCCTGCAACATGATTCTTTCTATATGGAAGATGTCAGGATCTGAACTCTTGGTTTGCAAAAGCTAGTTGTTTACCATTTGTCACCTCCTCGAGTTTAAGGGCCTAGTCCTCAATGTTCCAGGCTGCTGAAATTACTAATTATAGCTCTGCCTAGGACTGTACCCCATCAGGTCTCATGAATACAAGAATGCCATCTGTCAACATTTATAATCATCATCTTAGAACGGCAGAGCTGGAAGGGACCCTCTGGATCATCCAGTCCAGCCCCGGTCAAGGAGGCCCAGTGGAGGATTCGAACTCCCAACCTCGGGCTCCACAGCCAGATGCTTTCACCAAGCTATCCAGGAGTTATAATAATA